GGGGGAGGGGAAGGGAGGTGCACAGAATGCACACTGATTCTGACTTTAATCCCATTAACATGTACAGTACTTCTCTGGTGATTCCCGATACACCTTATAGAAATACATGTATTTAAAATAATGTCCCAGTGGATTTTCGAAACTTTAGGAACATCTTATTTCGTACTCTGTCGTGAAATAACACCCTAAAAGCGTTGTCTGGTTTGAAAGGTATTATCAACATCAGCGTTGGAGTTGTCGTATCATAATATGATCATTGTAACATGTGCATTCATAACATTCTTTACTATTTGAGAAAAACGATACGGTAATAATTTAAAGTGATTTCGAAAATCCACTAAGACATTCTTTTAAATACATGTATTTCTATAAGGTTTATCGGGAATCACCAGAGAAGTACTGTACATGTAAATGGGATTAAAGTCAGAGGGGGGGGGGGGCACAGAATGCACACTGATTCTGATTCTTATAGAAATACATGATTCTTATAGAAATACATGTATTTAAAAGAATGTCCCAGTGGATTTTCGAAATCACTTTAAATTATTACCGTATCGTTTTTCTCAAATAGTAAAGAATGTTATGAATGCACATGTTACAATGATCGTATTATGATATGACAACTCCAACGCTGATGTTGATAATACCTTTCAAACCAGACAACGCTTTTAGGGTGTTATTTCACGACAGAGTACGCAATATGATGTTCCAAAAGTGCGTTTTACGTAAGACATCATCTCACCAACCACAATCTCACTTGCAATTGTGATAAAGCATTCCCTTTAACACGGCTCTTGATGAAAATTACCAATTAGCCACTGAAGTTTTGGAGGTAATTGGAAGAAACATAAGTAATGAATTTTTAGCTTTGGCGCAAGGTTTTTTGCATGGCCCAGCTGTTACATTTTCTGGGTTAAGCATATGATAACGGATAAGGGGACATTAAAGGCAGGAAAAGCTTACGATACGGATAAAAGAGGGTCCCACTGCATCTAGGTCTCCAAAGACATTTTGGTCGATTTATTTCCTTTAAATGCCCATTTAATGGGTATAATTGTTGTAAGCATGTACAAGCCTTATCACGGTAAAGACTAAAACGTGTAGGTGACAAAACTTAGATTGGGGTGAGAGAACAGGTATGTTTCAAGTCAGTCACAAGACCTAATAACATTAGATACCCTAGCTGAAATTCGCTATTCCTGTCAGTTTGCGTAGGCATTTTTGTTTATCTTACATGTATGTAAGCCCTTTTGGATGTGTAAGAAATGGGAGGAAAATGTTTGCTCAGTTAGTGTAGAAAGTGATATTTAAAATTACTTTTTAATAATAGGATTGTGTGTTTAGGCCACTGCTTTTTTTCAATTCTCTGTATATTCGTTTACTTATTAGCGTATATCATGTTATTTATCCTCTTGCACCCCCCATGGTTCGCCACGTTTTATGTACGAGTAGGTCTTTAAT